AAATGATCTAAAAAGTGATCTAAAAAGTGAACCTTTTCTCTCTTCACTTCACAATGAAAGTGAAATCATTCATAAAATCTGTAGAATAGTGCTTATGAATATTTTAGAAAGTTTTTTATTACTATAGTCCATTATTCTTTCACAGGACCAATATATAGGACTAAAATTTTTCAGAAACTCTTGATTTGTGATAAATCTACGTGACTTGAATCCAAAGATATACAAATCTATTTTTTACATTATCTTTAAATAGTATATTAAAATACAAAATATATTACGCCTTACAATGGTATATATAGTTAGTAAAATAGAAACTTGAAGTTAACATTGACATAATTGAGAATTATCAAATTCATGGAAATAACATCAAGATTAGTGATAATTGTTTATTATTCTTGTATCTAAATATTTATTTGTTTAATATTAATAAATATTTGTTTCCTATAATACTTGTGTATAGATATTTATATTCCAATTTTTCTTTTTAGTATTTCACTGCTACAGTTGAAATAAATTTTTGCTTGAAAAGAAACATGAATTTTCTTTCTACTTTAAAAAAAAAATTGAAAAATATTAGAAAATGTAAATTAACGGAAAATATTTTCAATTAATAAACTCAAATACGGAATTTATAATTTGCAATTTGTCATTGACCACTCATTACTTTTATATATTTAAATTATTACATTTAGAAAACGTAAATATATGCTAAAATTGTTAATATCAATAAACCTATTAATGAAATAAATTACTTAATATAGTTATAGATAGATATAGTAATATAGTTATAGTTAGTTAGTATAGATATAGTAAGACATTTGCTTAAAACTGATTGTCATATACTGCTTTTTGTAATTTGTTATGTACATTGTTATTACCTCAAAAATTGTAAGATTCTTTTTTTTAAATGATACAAATCTATTGATTACATGTTTGGATTGTAAAACAATGCTTAATAAAATTTAACAAATTAAATTTCTTTAATAAATATATACTTATAAATTAAATTAGTTTTTCAAAAAAATATGAATTACAACGATATTTATTAATATTTCTGAATAAATTAAAGTTATTTATACTCGGAGTTTTTATAATCGAGATATCATTTTTTATTTGTATGTTTACATGAGAAATAGGTTTTGAAAATCTCTTTGATATATACGAAATGAGATGAAAATAGTTTTAAAAGTGAAACTATATGTTTTCAAATCAGACATAAAATTTATCTTATTTGAAATATACATGGACAACCGACTGAGCTGAATCTATATGTAAAAATAAATCAAAAAGAATAACATTTTTCCGTCGAAAACCTCGCTTCCAAAAAAAAATCTTTGAATATGACTTTGAATACATCTTAAGCATACTTGAATAAAATTAACTAGAGAATTAGACATAAATTTCTATGTGGGAAAATAAATAAAAAACATAGACTATATAATTTTTTCATAAGACATTTCATTTCCGAAAGAATTAAATTTGAGAATTTACCAACTATACCAAACAATTTTTAATGAAACATATTCAAAGTCTATTTTTTGAAAATGAAAAAATTTTATTCTACATTTCTTACTTATTTTTGCACACAGAATATCATCATCCGCCGACTATTCACTTTTGTTCACTGTGGAATTGGCTAAATTTAAATATACTTGATAAATTTTCAAACTTGATTTACTCACAAAGGTTTTGGTAAAAAAATCTCATCCTAATAAACAATATTTACAATTAATACACTTAATAATCAATATTTATATCTAATTTTCTTAATATACTTAATAATCAATTTCATACCTAATTATTATTATTATTAACAGAAAGTAAAATATTTCAAGACAGAATAAACAAGACCAATAAAATAAACATATCTAATTTAATCCACAGTTCACAAATATATATAATTATGTACAAAAAAGGATTAGCACATACAAAAATAAGCAGAAAATACAATTTTTTTTTTATA